CTGGAAAACTGCATATCTCTTTATATTGATTTTGTAAATTTAAAGTTGATAAAGCATCAGCCATACTTGTCTCTTGTTGTACTGCTGTGATATGTTGCTGTTGCTTTTTCTTTGAATTAGTAATTATGTCATGCGGAGGAGGTGTGAATCATTTTCAAAAACGCGTGTTTTGTTATTTCGTTTACACCGATGTGAAAAATAAAAATACAGAGAAACGCCACCCGGGGCTTTCTCTCTTACTGTACAATTGATAATGCTTTTTATCCAAGAAAACGCTAACCTGAATAGCGAGAAGAGAAAACAAAATTTTCAACTTACCCCTGGAGCGGTTTTTTTAACTTAACTAACTCTTTTTCTTTTAAAAAAAAATCTTTTCTTGGTTCCTTCTTCTTATATAAAGAAGAAGTCGGTCACGGCACCAAAATGTAAGCGTCTGCTTACACTAGCAGTGAAAAAACCATTCAGAAAAAACACTGCTTCTCCCCTTACGATTTCGCAAAAATATGCGACCGTACTGTGATGTAAACTAAATGTATATATTTTAAAAATAATAAAACACACACGATATATACAGACGAAAAAAAAGAGTGATACCAGAAAAAAAGAAGAATAACACTACTGTATGTAGAGACTAAAAATACGAAGAAACAAATATATCGTCGTGTATGAACAGTAAAAACGAGAATCATTATACATACACTTAATACTGTACATATACAAAGAAAGAAAAGAATGGAAAAAAAGAATGTCCATTGTGAACGACCTAGACAGGACAAGAAAAGAACGTGACATCCTGTGTTTGCGGCACGTGCCGCTAACAGTGCCCTCTACAAACTGGCAAAGTTTGAGAGGACGGGGTACCGCCCCTTAAAATCCTCATGGAAATATTGACAGCTGCTTTTCAATCATCTAAACTTTGAAGAATTATCAATAGTTCTATTAGGCTTTTAAAACGAACATGTTATAGAGCTGAGACGTGTTTTAAAACGTTCGCAAAACTTTTTTCTTCAATTTAAGACGTGTTGCAGCGGTCTGCGCCGTTTAGGTTTACGATTTATAAATAATTGGGGAATTCCTTTACGGTAGCAGACTTAGCTGGCCACACTGAACTATCAGATCATTCATACTTTTGACACCTCCTCAACTTACCTACTGTTGTACAGTAAAAGTGTCCAACAAGTTTAGGTCAGACATATCTGATTAGCTTCGAAATATTACCTCACCAAAAGGTTGCCGTTGAAATCATATTTTTTTGTCTCTACATGTTGCTTGGCCATGAAATTTGTTTTCTTCTTTCTTCGAGTTTGTTTGACACAAGTGCTTATTTGCTTAATACAATTACGGTACAGCACACGATTACACATACAGCCAAAAGAAGTTAGATATAGTTCGGTGAATGTGACGAAAAACATGCAGAATAAAGACACAGACAGCCACGGACGCTTAAGATGCAAAACGTTTAGTTGTAGTTTGTTTGAAGGTTACGTGCATTTAGAAGGTGATATCACCAAACTGAAACCAGTCGGTGTCCAACTAACAGTAAATCTGGTTCTTTAAAACCCTCAACAAGATTATATTCAAATACAATTCTAATAAAGAAACGTACGAATATTCATATTTTAGCGTTACGTTGTCAATATATGACAAAGAACTACATAAATAACGACAATCCATGCATTTACTGTTTGAATCATGATGATGCTGAAGATATTGAGACAGAAAATAACAGATGAGTAAAACAGTGAAATACTGGAACAGCCACAATAGTACCACAATAGTACAAATTACGGACTCGTCGACATTGTTAATGTTTAGCAGCAGATTTAAAATCTAACCTATAATTTCGTGCAGCGGCTCACTGGAAAACTGGCAGAGGTGCAGCCTCCAGCTACATACATACAGTTCATATTGAGTTGTACTACCTACCCATTGGCAAGTTTTTAGTGCTCATCACTGTTCTAATAACTGCCTGCTGTCTCTGTTTTTGTTTTGTTTTCGTAGCCGGTTTAATTGATCTGACTTGCAACGGATTTGCAGTTGGTGATGATACCGCTGTGATGAGCATGCATTTCCAGTCGTTGCTTGTGATTGGATTAATGATTGGTTTTATGGGCTTTCGCTATGTTTTAGGTGATGCTCTGTTGGCTATCACAGATAGATATGAGCAGAGGCTCAATGGTATCATGTTCTTCGTATCATTCAATATTTTATCAACATCGACGCTGTTATGAGTTAAGTTTGTTTGACTATCATTAGATTCTGAAGCAGCCGCTGCCTGTGAGTTTTGGTCTTACGCTTTTTCTTTGCTTTCGATTTATATAAGGTTTTCAAAGAAGCTTTTATATTGCCATCAGCATCTTGAAGAGGCGAATTTTTTGTATCAACTACATCTTCTTCAACTTGATAGTTTTACGTTTAGATTGAGTTTTCTTCGATGTATTATAAATAATTTTAAAAAAATAAGAAAAACTCAATAACAAAATTAGGTGCACCAAAAATTTCTGAATGAATCACTTCCAAAGTTCTAAAGCAGCTATTTATTATATACTATGATCGAAACTAATTTGTTTTCGTTTTAGCGTATAGAATATGTTGAATTTGATGTCTGTCTAAAAATTCTGTGTCGAGCGAAGAACCCGTATACTTCATTCCCGTATCAGCAGCCACAGCAACAATAGGTCCTTGAATACGTCGTTGGCTATTAGTCGATTCATTATCTAACATGTTCAAATAAATTTTAATACCAGCTAAGACGCATCCTGTCTACGGTCCAACAAAAATTCCTTCAGTCTGCAGTAATTTAAAACATTGATAGGCTTCCCGATCACCTGAAACCACAATAAATTCATCAAGTACTTTAAAATCGACTACAACGCTAATAAAATTATCTGACATTGCAGGTGTTAAATGGCCGATGAAGACGGTTTGTATCACCATCAAACCTGTAGTTTAATAAACAATTATAATTAGACAATTATATAACTTAGCACTTGTCAGTGGGAAATGTTACTGGAATTAATAATAGGATTTATAATATACATATATCTTACCTATGCTTAATAATTCCTCCTTTGACGTCAACTCCAATTCTTCGTGATTTACACCTTTCTTTCAATAATCGGCCAGTGCCAATGACTATCCCACCAATACCGACAACACCAAAATATGCGCCTACCCATCCATTAAGCTGCCTAATAATTTCCATACCAGTTGTGTCCTCATGAGATTTTGAATTACGATGATCAGAAAACTGATCTAAGTATATAATGTTTATAATATCCATTGACTTTGTCGTTAACCACCCCACTTTATATATCATTCGATAGAGAATTTCACGGTCTTCAAAATGAGTTATAAATAAGTCTTTCCAAACTTTGCTCACATGGGTCAATAGTCGAAATATTTGACCGATATAATTATTTTTATCTATCTTAGTGCTTTAAACACTACTTTGGTCATTTTTCTGCCATAATAAAAAATTATGTATTTTTTAGAAACATACCACTGGATAGCCCTTGAAATACTCTACAAAGTGAACTGATCCGAATATCAAGACAGATGAAGATAGTAAAGATATATCAAGACAGTAAAGATATGTAAAAGAAGCGTTCAGGTGTAAATGGAACCACATCAATGGATATTAAAATTAAGTAACTTTCGAACTGCTATTGGCAATTTTTCGACAATTTTTTTAATAAGACCTACTTTAAACGATGAGGGATATTCCCCGTCTTCAATTGACTGGTTTATTATGTCAATAAGGTGTTCATCAAGTGCAAACCTAGGTTCTTTGACCAAGCAGGCTGTAATGCTTGAACTATTAGTTTCACTGGGACCGAGTCGTCTAAGTATTTTTTCAGTTTTGCCTGAATATAAGAATGATATATCGAAAGTTCATGAAGTCTGCGGCAGGTTTTCTGAAGGAATTGGATTGTCATGATCAGCCGGGTCCATAGTGCATATTTTCACTTAAAAATTAATTTAAAACTTCAGCTTTTTATGTATATATATGTATGTATAGATCCGGTTTTTATTCGAATCTAGTAAAACTGATATTTCAACCTAATACACGTCTTATTAACTTGTATAATGTCCTAGGATTTCTTTGTGTAGAATTAACTCTATTATTAAAACTAAGTTTCGCTGATAGACATGCACTTTCATATTCAATCACGCGTGGTAAATATTTATTTTTATAATGTGGAATATTTATATGTTTTTTACACAGTCTGAATGAACGATCGTTCTTTTTCCTTAACTTGCGTAATTGTTTAGTGAACCATGGTTTGTTACGATTGCTAATTGTCATTTTCATTTGGAATCGTTCCTTTGGCTGCTTCAGCAATTGCTTCAGTTATTTTATCTACTCTTTTATCCATGGTGAGTGTGTTAATAAAAGTATTTTTAAGGTCTGAGTGAACATGATACCTGAAATAATTCTAATCTACATCGGTTTTTGTTTTGTGAAGTATTTATTGTTAACGATTTCGACATTATTTGCTAGCAAAAATGTTGAATGTTATTGACTTTGTCACCTATTAGATTCCCAGTGATTGTAATGGGTGCAGTCTCTCAGCATTTTCTATTTTTCTCGTGTTTCTTTAGGGTCCAAAAGTTAATGTTTTTTAAAAGATGCAACGCGACATACTCTGCAAAACCATAGCTAAACTTTAGTTTCAGGACTTCAATCGGAAAAACTACGCAGATTATATATATTTCCCCATAGTTTTCTCTTCCAACATGATAGAAATCCTTCCTTGCGTAAGAAAATTTCACGCCAGTGATTGCAGACTCTTCCATCATTTTTCTGATAATAATATAAAAAAAGACATTAAATAATATTTGAGAAGGAATCTCAGCTTGCATCACACCTGTTTGAATGTCGAAACTTTCCGATAGTACACCGTTAATTCTAATTTGCCCTCTGGTGTTTTTGTATACTAATTTTAATAACTGCAAGATTTTATCAGTTAGACCATAATGCTATAGAGCTTTTGGTAAAAGTCTCATAACCTATCAAAACAAAAGATTTTTCGACCTGATTTGTTTTGTTTTGCTTAGCAACTCTTCTTCGCACTTTTGATCAGCAACTCCTCTTCGCACACTGTTGGAAGGGTTGTCAATTTTTGACGCATTTTTTGGAACTGCGTTTTCCACCACACCATCTGTTCTAAACGATCTTTCTACAGACGGCGAGAAAGAGCGCATTCAAAAGAACTGAATTCTCACTTTTGTAACCCCCTTTTACGGAAATAATAGCAGAAGAAAAAGGTTTAGGTTGGAAACAATACAAGATTGCCTTCAAAAAAGTTTTCATTTCTTTCGTCTTTCGTATAATCTGCGTAGTTTTTCCGATTGAAGTCCTGAAACTAAAGTTTAGCTATGGTTTTGCAGAGTATGTCGCGTTGCATCTTTTAAAAAACATTAACTTT